TTGGAACTTTAAGGGGATTTTTACGGAGCCGTACGTGTTACTAGCGGGTATAGGAAGGCTGATGTTAAATTTGCCGCGTCACCTGTTGGCGAGGAACACTACACTAAAATTTCAGCCGTCTAGCTTTTGTGGTTCATCAGAAACGAGTGAGTTTTGAAACAAACGGCCGTCCTCATCCAAATTTGTAAATAAACATTTAGTTCATTTGCATACTTGGATTTTTTGACAAACGACCGCTTGAGCAACACTTCCACTTTTTAATGAACTGGAAATTTGCATCTTTTCAAAAAATTTGCATTTTTCATTTTTCAGAAAGCGAAAATTTACTGAAGAAACTATCAAGCTTCATGCAAAAAACTGGCAATCATGTACCTGAAGGTCCGTGCGACTCTATAACGTACCACCTTCTTCCCAACCGATGCCCCTCTTCTTGCCTGCCGGAACGGGCCAAAACGCGGCCAATATGAGCCCAAATGTTAGGTTACAGCGCAAAGCTCATTCCTGATATTAGTGACCTACGAGTTTAGTGCAAAAACGCATGATCGCACCGCCAAGCCTGGTGCGTTCCAGTTTGGATTTTTCGCCTCCAAAGTCTTACAGAAACAAAAGCTGATTACATCCCTATGCATAGAGTGCACCCTTTTTTTTTTCTAAATTCAAAACCTACAATGGAACTTATTCACTCCCAGCTTCACCTATGCATTAATAAATAAACCCTATTGAAAACGGATTTTTATAGGAAAATTTCCGCTTGCACAGAGCCAGTTTTCTTGCTTTTGTTTTTCTTTTTTTCTTGCTTTTATCGGTAGGCTCAAATTTGTTTTAATTTACTTTTCTTTGTAGTGCTCTGTTTTCTCTTTCCGTTGTCTCCAGTTCTTGCCTCTAGCTTCTGACTTATATCCTCGTCCCTGTTCCCAAGTCCTGCTTGAAAATAAACATCTGGACTCCTCTCCATCTCCCACTTTAAGAGAACTGTGCAAGCTCGCAGTATTTCAGCCCTTTCTCTACCCCCGAGTATCCATGGCAAAAACCATGAGCACACTTTCTCCTTTTTTCTAACCATCGTTCCTCCCGATTCCTCCTCTGCCCTCCAAATGTAAGTGACCTAGCCAACCGACAAAGGATCTACGCCACATAACCATTAAATCCACCTATCCCAGCCCCCTTCCCTGCCTCGAACGAAACTCGCAGCGCACCACCCTCCTCCTCCCCTTCGCCTACTACATCCGAAACCTGCCATTCGTCGTGTAGTAGCCCTACCCGCCATCAACAGAAAAAACTTTTCACAAATCCTGTATGATGCCAACCGAGCCGAGTCGTAGCAGCTCTAAAGTGTTGTCTGGCTTCTGTTCCGAAAATTCGCAAAGAAAAGAAATTCAGATTTAAGAAAAAAGAAGTATTTGCTTGTAGAAGGATGCGGCCGATTATCGGCCAGTGGATTTCAGCCGCCGGCCAACGACTTCGAACCGTGCTCCCATGTCGTAATATTTGTAAATGTTTCTTGTGTGTATATGGAAATTGTATAATAGGCATCGACTAATGGATCCTCCCAGCCGGCCGGCCGGCATTTTCTACTTTTCATATTTTTTGTTGCACTAATTTAAACAAATTTCATTTCACCAAATACTTTTACCCCAATAATATTAATTTCGAGGCTGGAACGCACCAGGCTCTCC